TACAATTAATTTCAAAGAAGAAATACACAATAAGTGAAGTCACATTAACCAAAAATACCCATAACATTAAAACAAACAAAAATAAAAAAACAAAAGGAGTAAGTTCCAAGTTCAACGTGACTAGTTCACATGGCATTAAATGAAAGCCACACATATGTCTGTTTCTCACTCTTCTTTCATTAAACCCCTCTGAAGTAACTTGCAAAGCTCTCAACTTTGATCTTCATTTGAGATTTCTAAGCCTTTGATCTCAAATTTTTATTCTTTTATTATCTGGGTTTGATCCATTTTCTCAATATCTGCCATGGATTTTCAAAGCTTGACTGTCAAGAGCAGTTCTTGGTTTAAAGAAAGGGGCGTTGGGAGCTGGAACAATGGGATCTTTCGTCAAGGATTGCAGCGCAATTCTAGGAAATATGCGGGTTTGAGAGGAAATTTTGAGGAGTTGAAGTGCAAAAGTGGAGTTGCATTCTCTGTTCTTACCTCAGATGTTACCCAGGATACTGTAGTAAGTGACTTCCTTTGGAAAAGATTTGATCTTTTTCCCCTTCTTTTGGAATCTAAAGGAAACAAAGTTGGCTTTTATGGCAAAGAATTAAACTTTAAACTTTCGAATAGAATATGTTGCCTTTGTTACTTGAATTTTGAGTTGATGACTAAAGTGCAAACTGTGGTGATTCTTTAATCTGTTTAATTTATTAGTATTTTTTAAAAGATGAATCCTGGTTAATTATGTTTATATATGCTTTTTTCCAACACGCGAAATAAAAGAAAATATATGATGTAAGAGTGAGAAAAACAAATTGAATTAAAACTGAGGGGTTAAAGTATTTTGTAAACAAAAAAAGGAAAATTTTAAGACTACAATGTTTATGAATCTAAATGATATCAAAGTAACTAAATATCAACAGTAGTAAGTTTGATTGTTCTTTAACCTGCTGCATATACATCTCTTTTGAAACAATCGATAATACTTAATTTTCAGATATATTATCTTTCCTGAGCTTCACATGATTATGAAACTTTGGGTGCTTTTTCTAGTTTACTCACTGAATTTTTCTTGCTAAATTTATCGGCAATTTCTTCAGATTTTCGAGAAACCAATTTTTGAGCCTCAAATAGCAGACCCCAAGACTGTTGCTTCAATAATATTAGGGGGAGGTGCAGGAACAAGACTTTTCCCTCTTACAAGCCACAGAGCTAAACCAGCTGTAAGTTCTTTTACAATGGTTCATATTCAGATTTGTTACTCACAATCAAATTTGTAATAATATTGTCGAATTCAAATTGTTGAGGATATAAGATTTGCAGTTATAACTCAAATGTAGGTACCTATTGGAGGATGCTACAGGCTTATTGATGTTCCTATGAGCAATTGTATCAACAGTGGGATAAACAAAATTTTTGTCATGACCCAGTTTAATTCAGCGTCACTCAATCGGCACCTTGCTCGTACCTATAACTTTGGAAATGGGATCAACTTCACTGATGGATTTGTGGAGGTATGATCAATCTATGATTATTTCCAAATCTACCATTATCATAATCACCATCATCCTCATCATCATATGCTTGTCTTTGTGCAAGTGTAAAGCTAAAGTCTAAACCATCTAACGATAGCGTTTCTTGTGAAAAGTATTAAAGTCCCTCCTATTGCATCAAAACTTCAAAATTGTGCTGAGAAGAGTATTATAATTTTATACTCTTACATGCTCCACTAGGTTGAGCACCCTTTTCATGGGCCGAAACCTGAACTCATGCAATCTGATTTAAATATGTGATTGGTGGGAGTTGCACCTAGATTGGTCTAATACCATATTAAATGCTTTCACTGCATTAGAAAATATTATGATTCATTGTCTTTACTAAAGGTGTCTCAATTCACTGTATAGGTTAATGTATAGTATCTTCTTTTTTAAAACTTTCCTTATTATAGGTTTCATTTTCTTATTGGACTTATCCTTCCATAAGAACTTCCCATAAATATTTTACAAGGTCTAAGTATGGGTATTACCCTCTTCTTCACAAAGAATGATAAAATATAGAATTCTCTCTTTTTTTATTTCAACATGTTGCACCAAAACTCCTAAGTTATGGCGACGATTGAGGATTCTCTTTAAACTCTTACAAAAAGATGGAATTAACCTTCAATATCAGCATGTATATAAATGGTCCTTTTATTCACTGAGCAGGTCTTGGCAGCTACTCAGACACCGGGTGATGCAGGAATGAATTGGTTCCAGGGAACAGCAGATGCTGTAAGACAGTTCATTTGGGTCTTTGAGGTTAGTACATAATTTCAATCTGGCTGCTCTCTGAAAGAAGATGCTCATAATAAGCACTTTGTTCGTTCTTGGCTCTTTATATTAATTTTTCTTTGATCACATAGGATGCCAAGAATAAGAACATCGAACACATCTTGATTTTGTCTGGGGATCACTTGTATCGGATGAACTACATGGACTTTGTGCAGGCAAGAATGACTCTGTTAGTTTCTTTATGCCCTTTAAAGTAATTGTTCATTAGTATAATTGAATAAAGTTTATTGTACATTGTGATACTTGCAGAAGCATATTGATACTGGTGCAGATATCACAGTTTCTTGCGTTCCTATGGATGATAGGTAAGTGTACCAACTCAATAAATTTCTAGGATGTTTTGTTTATAATGCAGCTATTTAAGTAACCTGTTGATTTTGTTTTGAAAGCCGTGCTTCTGATTACGGGTTGATGAAGATTGATAATACAGGACGTATCATTCAATTCTTGGAGAAACCAAAGGGTGCAAACTTGGAGGCCATGGTAAGCATTTTGCTGGGGAAAAGTCGTATAGAGAGCCCTAGTAGATAATCATATACAATAGGGAGGGAGGATAACATGACACATTTCCTGCTAACATTACATTATTGAAATCAGTATAAACATCAGTGCAAACAGTTAAAATATAGGATTAATTGTGGATAGGCCCGATTTACTGCTGCCCAATTGTGGATAGAGACCCTTAGTTCTATTGTTGCAGATAGACCTCCCGTAGTTCTATTGTTGCAGATAGACCCCCGAGTGAAATTTCTTGACTCTTTTACCCTCAGAGAAATAGAAATTTGTTTTTTGATAAATAATCCTCTTGAGGATAAAAGAATAAAAAATTCACCATGGAGATCTGTCCGCAATTGGGCGATAGTAGAGGTGGTCAATCTGCAATTAACCCTTTTTTCTATCTACTTGCCTATTGCATTTCTAACTAAAGCCATATGGGATGATAACAAGTTGTGGTCTCAATTTTCGCTATAATAACTGAATGTACCATGATTAGAACTGTAAAATAAGAAAATGAGTATTTTGTTTTCATGCAGAGAGTTGACACCACTATTCTTGGATTGTCTCATCAAGATGCAGCAAAATCTCCGTACATTGCATCAATGGGTGTCTATGTCTTTAAAAGAGATGTTCTCCTAAAGCTTCTTAGGTAAATTGCATACTTCCCAATTTGATGTTTATTTGAGTGATTATATTCTCTTTTTTTTCTTTTTTTTTCTTTTTTCCCTTTTTTCAGTTGGAGATATCCAACATCCAATGACTTTGGATCGGAGATTATACCTTCAGCAGTACTGGAGCATAATGTTCAGGTTAATAAATAATCTAGAGCTCACCTTGTTACACGTCCAAATCTGATAGTTGAAACTTACTGAACATTTAATATCTTGGCAGGCATATTTATTTAATGATTACTGGGAAGACATCGGAACAATTAAGTCATTCTTTGATGCGAATTTGGCTCTCACAGAAGAGGTTGGTTACACTAAACAACGGATTACTTTAAGAATTAAGGGGATTTTTCTTTTAGATTTTGGTACTAAAGCGATGCGACTGATTCTGGTTCTCATTTTTCTTCGTTGCAGCCTCCAAAGTTTCAATTTTATGATCCAATGACTCCATTCTTCACATCACCTCGATATTTACCCCCAACAAAAGTAGAAAAATGCAGGGTGTGTGCAACTTATTTGCTAAGCATCTTTATTGTGCATCTTTTTATATTTTATAGCTTACCTGAAATCTTGCAGATTGTAGATGCAATTATCTCACATGGGTGCTTCTTGAATGAATGTGCTGTTGAGCATTCGATTGTGGGAATTCGCTCACGTTTAGAATATGGAGTGGAACTCAAGGTGAGTTTCAAATATATCCAGAACTTGCTTTTTGTGGAGTTCTCTTTCTCCTTTTTAGACAATATAAATGTGCAAATACATTTTTTACAGACTTCAAATGGTTCAGTATGGGTTTGAAAAGGAGAACACAAGTTCTAAATTAAGTAATTTCACAAGCATGACCAGTTTCAGTTTTATAACATGAACTCTTCCTTGGAATCCTGACCCTATTCTTTGCAGCAAATACACTTAAATAATTGATGATTATAGCTGTATTTTTGCATATTTCTCAACATGAATTTCTAGTTCAAATAATGAATCTTTAACTAAAGCAAACTTTCCTCTCAAGGTTCTTCCTGATTGCAAGTCCAATAGCCTACGAAACATATACTTTACATAACTACCCAGCCACAATGCAGAGAATCCAAATCTTATATATATTCCGGTAATGTGTTTCATTTCACTTCCTTACGCATATACTGCATTAAAATACAAATTCTTACCATCATTTCCGCTTATCATTTCTTCACTATAGAAGTATCTAGGGCAAAGCTTCTTGCTTAAATGAGCTTATACATCGCAGAACCAGCAAGTTTGGTTACCTTCGCATACAAGTTATTATAAGTTGATGTTAAAATGATTTCACATTACCTTTGATGATGATATAAACAAAACTTATTTAATCAAGTTATATTCCTTGCATCAACAGGATACAATGATGATGGGTGCTGACTACTACCAAACTGAAGCTGAAATCGCGTCATTATTGGCTGAGGGTAAGGTCCCCATTGGTGTAGGACAAAATACAAAGATCAGGTACAAACCATATCAATTATGTTCACTCTCACAAGTGAGTAAATGTGATCCAGTAATTAACTATCCATCATCTCTTTATCTTCTAGGAATTGCATCATTGACAAAAATGCTAAGATTGGAAAAGATGTCGTCATTGCGAATAAGGATGTATGTTCTACTACCTTGAGCAACTTCACTATCATTCAATGCATTTACTAAAATAGGGAAATGTGTGGTATCATTTATTATTTATTTATTTATTTATTTTGTTATCAGGATGTTCAGGAAGCAGATAGGCCCCGAGAAGGTTTCTATATTCGTTCTGGCATCACTGTAGTTCTAAAGAACGCAACCATCAAAGACGGGACGATGATATAAATGATCGTAGGTTTTTTTATTAGTTTGAGGAGGCTAGAAATATAGTGTAAAGTTTCTACGTATCCTTGAGATGGGCTTGCGTTGAATACCGGCAGCAGTCTGAAAACTGAATTCGTGTGAATTCAGAATCTGCTGCTGCTTGTTTGTTGTATAAATAAGCTATGGTGAGGGCAGTAGTCTGTAAAGTTTTGTGGGTATCAGGTGTAACGATTTTCTATGTAGTAGCACTGCGTTTTGTAACGGATCAAGCAAATGAAATCAGATGATACAACAAAAGACTTGTTGTTCAGTAAAATGTAAATGAGTTGCGAATCTTTAGACTGCTCTCCTCTCCAGAATTCTTTTCTTCCATCGTAGGACGGTATAATGGACCGCCGAGATCAGTCATCGTGCTCTTGAATGCAAACAATGCGGATGATAGATTCCACATCCGGTTACATATATACCTACATTGTTCCAAGGGCTACAATAAAATCATTATAGAAACAAGCGTTAATTGCATATACATCCCATATACAGTGGTGATGTAGTCCCTTGTACCCCCTAAAGCTTCTTTCCTTGGCATCTACGTACCCTATTCTTTCTTGTTCTCAATTTTGAGGGTAATTTATTCTTTTTTCCTACTTAAAAGTAAAGGTAAACGGCGCCTCATCTTCTCCTCTTCTACACGAGACATCTCAATCTGCCTTTAAACAACATCATCTGAACTATCTAACCTATAATATCATCTGATAACTTAAAATAATATAATTTGAACTATATAAAACCACATTATCATTTGAAGTTCAGAAGATATAAGTACTAATAAAATAATAAAATAGTTCGGAAAGTACAAGTGACTACGCACAAGTCGTATTTCAGGCTTTCAGATAAACCCTAAAAACAAACATCACCAGTGCGACAAACAAACACCTCACGACCATCGTCAACCAAAGTTAACTTACCGGTTACCTTCTCTCAAATTTCATTCTGTGACTGCATTGATATCACAATGCAAAAGAATAAGAAAAACAAGTGTTCCTCCACAATGTTATTTGCTTGACCACAAAGAGGAAGAAGCCTTTACACTGTACTTCAAGAAAGGTGAAGGGCCATTTTATACATGAGCTTATAAGATTCTTTATATGAAAAGACAGACACAACCTCATGTGTCTCATATGATGTTTTTGAGTTTAATCTCTATGGCTGGCTGTGAATTCAGCTTCATGAGGAGGCTTTGAAGACGGAATATAAGACCATGCTAAAGTTGCTGCTCCCAGAGTTACAACGAGACCAACTGAGGCCCAAATCCATTTCTGCCTTCTCTTTTTTTGCTGACGCTGTTGCCGTGCCATTTCTGAATCAAAACAAAGTAGTAGAAGCAGTCAATATAATGGAATTATCCTTTCCATAATCATCCATAATCAACCATACTCCGATAAATTTAAAGTCCCTCTTAGTGCACCAGAACTCCGAATTTGCGTAACGGTTATATTATACTCTAACATGCCCAGCAGGTTGATTGTCATTTCTATGTGACTCTTGACAACGCCCGGTTGTATTTTTTAGGTTAATTGCGGATATACCCATTGTACAATCACCCAATTACGAATAGACCCCTTATAGTTCTGTTGTTCCAGATGGAACTTGAGTGAATTCTTTCTCTTCTACCCTCCGAGAAAGAGAAAATTGTCGTTCAACAATTCCTGGGGGTACAAAAGTCAAAAAGAATTCACTCTGGGGTTCTATCTGCAAAAGTAAAACTACTGGGCTTCTATCCGCAATCAATCCTTTTCCAAATCTGCTTTAAATTGGCATGTGGGGTTTGAACTTGGGTTGCTCTAATATTATTTTAAAGTCCCTTCCACTATACCAAAACTTTGAATTTATGGGGAGGGCTAAGGATTATATTTTTATGTTTCTGCATAAAAATGGAATAGTTAACAGCTAGCTAGACACATCAAGGCATATGTGAAAGTGAAGGAAATCATAAAGAACAAAAAACTTTGGTAAGAAGTCAGCTAAATCAATCAAAGGTAATTTAATTCCTAGCATTAAAGAAAGTAAGAGTGGCAATCACGGATACTCTCAAGGTTTGTTAGTTCATACGGGGTGGGTTTTGACACTTCTGGGTACCTGAAACTAAATTTTCAGATGACTTTTGTGAGGTTTACAACAACACAGCCAAACACTCTATCCTCAACCAGGCAGGTGCTGTTTCGGTTAGGTCTTCTCATATAAGGAGAGTCGGGTGGGCTAGACAGGTTATGTTCAACATTAATAATCACATGCCATATAGAGCAAGTAAGATTACAATTTCAAAGATCAATTAACTATATCCTAGGATAAAAATTCATATGTTTGACAAAAAATATGTTAATAAAATCACATAGAGCTGGACTCATTTCTATTTGTAGGGTATTAACTAGTTGGTTAAATGGGCAGATAGCTTAGGATGTTTTAATATCCATATTTATTATTCACGATTTGTCATATCCTTAGGTTGGTACCATGGAGAATGAGAGTGCATCAAGTTTAAGGCTAGTTCTTTTTCCTGAAAAGATTTTCAAGCCATTTTGATGAAAAGAAAACAGAAACTGATAACTGGCAAACTGGGATAGAAACTGGATGAGGTAACTGACAAGCTGGTCGAAGGAACCCCATCCACTGAAGGTCACTAGAATCTGGGGTGCTTGAAAGCAAAGTTGTGTTCGGATTCGCCACTGATGCGCAAATCAGGACGGTCAGAAAGCCATCTAGCAAGTGTTAAACTGAACGCATGTGCACATATAGTATATCTATATAGGGCTGGCTTGGCTTGGTTGGTTATCAAAATAGGGTAGAAGAAATTAAACCCAGCCATCAGGGTTCAATAAGACATCAATGGCGATCCAAACCCCTAATTTGGATTGGGCTTGGTTGGTCAAAGTCCAATCAAACCAGTTGATGACCTAAAACAATCCTTCGCTGCAGAAGAGCAGTCAATTGATTAGATCAAACTTGAGGGGTTTGAGGTCACAATGATCTTTAATGTGTTTGATGCTCTTGATAGTAGGTAGCTGGCCCAAATATTAAGTAACTAGAAACTACCCAACCATTTGGTTTCTAGTTTCACGATCAAGTAAACACAAATTCTAACTGTAACTGAGACAGTGAGGCTAATATAGACAGTCATCCACATATCCATAGTATTCACCATAATATTTATATAGACACAAAATAAAACATAATCACATCCTATCCCTCTACAAATCAACGAGAACTTCTTGCTACTCTGTTACTAATGGTTTTGAACAGATGTAAAGTAGAATTGAATGGTGAACAGATGGAGTACAGAGACCATAGGAATCATCAATTTCAGAAACATGAACCAAACACTATGCTAATCGTGGTATAAAACCAACCGTAAGGATGCACTCTGAATTATTGTCGAAACTGGAGCAGAAGATTGACATGATTTTTAAAATGAGAACATGGTAGGACATATATTCCTGTTGGGTAAGGAAAAAGTCAGTTAAGATGGGAATAATACAAAATTCGGGAAGAATTCGAACTACACAGATGTCCCCCTTGGATACATGTTCCCTTCTCTTCTTCCGATTTTTTTCTCAGCAATGACAACATAAATCAGAAAGTGGAGATAAAGGCACACATAACTAGTAGATGCATGCAAATATGATAATAAAATAATGTTCAGCATTCTTACCGACAGCCTCTTGATTTCGTTGAGACATCTCTCTGTTTGCTGTTTCATAGTATTGTAGACGATCCCAAAGCCTAGTAATCTCAAAGTTTTTGGACTCAATTTGAGGTTTCTTCTCCATCTCAACCTCAGCGCGTGCACATGCTCTTCCAATAGAACCAGCGACAGCACGTGCAATAGCAATTTGCCGGCATAACTCCTCAGCAGGGTTAGGATTTGGTTGTTCACCAGTCTCATCTGTATCTGGAAAGGCGGGAAGTGTTAAACCCACAAGTGATAGTTGCTTGCTAAGACTTTGCCACTGGCTTCTCAAGTTTTCAAGGGCTTCCTCTGCTTGTTTCCTCTTCTCAATTTCCATTAGAAGATTGAACCTCATCTCACGTAGCTCATCTTCAATAACATTTCGAGAAGATGATCTTGTACCGTCACTGGAGATCTCTACGAAAGGGCAAAAGCAAAGTGAACATAGATCTTGAAGAACCATTAACGCTATTGGTTTATTAAAGTTTATGAAGCACATAACATGAAAGACAAAAAAATTTTGTGATGTGACATCTCAATGAATTATTTAGGAGTTCAACTATTTCTTGGTACATATGGCAGCCAAAGTGAAGACATTACCTAGGCAAATACCTTGATAAAATAACATAATAATAAGAAGCTCTAAAAGCGGTAAGATACAGGTTATCTATAGCAGTATAATTAAGTCATACATGGAAAACATAATTTACTAATTTGGTCAAAATATAACTCAGCACATTTGTATCCATAAAAGAAAGGGTTTTTTGCCTTTAAATCCAAAGATTCACCCCCATTTATTACCCAATCCACTTACTACTATCTATACCTTAACACCCAAAAATACTTTATCCTTTTATATTTAAAACCAAAACATCAGATACACGCTATTTCTAAACAATGTTTGCCCAAAAAAAAGTTAAACCCCTAAAATGCCCTTGTCATCTACTCTCCTAACCCATAACCTAGGTTACTCAGACACTTCACCTTGGCTACCGTATCCGTATCCGTGTCCGTGTTGGACACTTCTTGAGTATATACATACATTTATGCAGACATGTGACCAAATGTGAGCAGTTTTTGCAACTTGTTGGAGTCGGATATGGTTCATTTGAGCCCATATCATGTTGATAAGTATGATTTTAAATGATGATTTGGATATCTAGTCCAAAAGTGAGCAGTTTTTCAATTTATAATCTACTCAATGAAAGAAACATTAAAAAGTTATATGAACTTTTAATTCTCATAATACGTAATTAAAAAAACAATATCGATCTCATATATATTATTAATTTCAATAAGTATATACATAGTCATGTCCTAGTATCCTACATTTTACAAATTTGTTGTGTCCCGTATCCACACTTATATCCGTGTCAGCACCCCGCACCCGTACCCCTACAACATAGCCAATAACACATTATCTCACTTTTCACCATCTCTACCTCTTTGTTTGGGCCTTTCTCCACCCTCTCTACCTAACCACCTCCCTTTCCCTCTCCCAATTCCCCCCTCCCCCTTCCAACTCTCCATCATCAACTAACAAGTTTTGCTACTATGCTTACATGTGTTGTGTGTTGTTGTTATAATTACAGGTTTTGTTGCTATACTTACGGACATTGTCGTTGTACTTACAAGTTTCGTTGTCATACGAACATGTTATGTTGCTATATTTACAGATCTTGTTGCTATTCTTATAAATTTTGTTATGGCTAGCTCATACTTATAGGTTTTGTTGTTATGCTTACATGTGTTGTTGCTATACTTACAAGTTTTTTTATGTACTTACATCTACAGGGGGAGGGAGAGAGAAGGTGGCGGAGGGGAGGGAGAGGAGAGGGTGAGAGGAGGTAAAGGTCGAAGGAGATCGAAGAGGTAGTTGTGGGGATGAAGAGTTGACGGCAGTAGAGTTTGGAGAAGTGGGGTGGAAGGGGGAGGAGGATGTCGTGAAGGGAATGGGTTTTTTGGCTAGAGAGAGGAAAAAAGAATGATATTTTGGGTATTTTGGTTTTATTAAGGGATACAATGTACATGTATTGTTGTATTTTATACTTTTGTGTTTTAAAATAAACAATATACAAATAGCTTTTTGGTTACTTTGTGTAGATAGAAGTAAATAGTGTTTAAAAATAAATCAGGGGAAAACTTAGTATTTATAAGCAAAAAACTCTACAAAAACAATTACTTGATCATTAACCAAATTCTAAGCTAAGCTTTACATAAGTTTCAAAAAGAAACCGATGCACAAGATGCCAAAAAAGTGCGTCAGAAAGAAACCCTAATCCGAGCGGTCCTAAATATAGCAAGTGCATGTGGATGAGCACACTGAATTAAGAAAAAAATGAAGGCCTACATTAAACCTTAAATGATTTCACATAACATTTAACATCTATTTGAACATACTATTGTTTTCAACAAATAGACATATTGTTGTAGTCTAGTTCGAGTTGTAAGATTTGAAGATAGGTTATATGCATTCTTTACGAGATATTATAGTTTTTGTCTCACCAATAGATAATAAACTAAAATATTCTAATTGTGATTCTCTATTTTCTTCTTTCTTTTCACTTACAAATAAGCAATCCAAAACTTGCAAAGCTTAGCTTAAAATTTTCTTGTCTGGGTTCTAGGAATCCTTAATGACAGTGAGACATGAAACCTAAATAGGCTTTCCAAAATAAGGTTAACACAAATGTTGGTTAAGTGTTTAAATAAATTGTTCATGAACCTCGCTTTGACACAGCATGAACAATAGATGTTAAAATTTAGAACGCGCTCTCTAAGGTAAAATCTATAAACTACAAAACTTATGATATTTCCTACAAAGCTTAAACTAGTCCTTCTGAAGCTTATGCACTATTTGCTATGAAGTTAATAGATTTGCGCTTAGTGCGCTAAATTGTACACTCCATATAAAGCTTATGGCATCTGTGTCAATGATGTTTTTGCTTCACATCTTGATTCAAGTGATATAACAATCTTGACTTATTTATCTCTTAGCAACTTCAATTTCATCAATTTGTATACTTCAAAGATCTCTTAAGCCCTACTTCTCAATCATCAAAACATTATGTTATTATATTGCAGAAAATCTTAGCTCTTACCCAACTTCTTATTATCTTTCTTAAACCATCCTTCAAAAAATTTGATTGCCTTCATACTATAAATTATACTACATGTCCACATACATGCACACCCATGATATGCTTTTATTATAAAAGGGTCTATTGTTATGAGCTAACAACTCATTTAGATAAATGATCTACGAAGAGATAAAAGGATATGACTAGTTGAACAAGACATTTAAAAATTGCTGGATGTGGTAGATTGTCGAGTAACACCTACAGCATTCTATTGAAAAGTAGTGTCAGAACAGCCGCAAAGTTTCACGCAACTAACGGATCATACAAGAACAAGTACGATATACAAAAAACAAAAGTAGAAGCTAAAATCTCTAAAGAAAAATATACCTTCAAATGCATCATAATACTCCCCGGCAGGAGTACTCGCCTTCCACGACCGCTCCCCCCAATTGCTCCCGTCCAATTCCTCTTTGCTCGGAGTATTGCCAGGCGTACTCATCGAATCTCGAGAATCAAGGAAATCATCAAACTCCACCTCTCTTTCAACCTCCACAACCGCACCATTCTTCATCTCCTCTTCCCCAATACCCCCATTTCCCACATCACTATGAGCACCATTACCAACAACCTTTTCTGAATTCTCTCCATCAGCATCCCCTTCAATCTTATGATCAAGACCGATGGGTTCAGATTCATCGATCGTGGCGTTGCTCTCAGAGAAGCTCCTGAGGAGGCGGGGCCCACGGCGCTTGTGGTTGATAATG